ACTGACGCGAACGCCGTACCGCTATTTGCGGTGGGTCGCCTCATCGATCAAAGCTGTCGAACTACTCCCCCGTGCAGCGGGGAAGCAATTGTCGTTCAAAGCTGCCGAGCTACTGCCCCGTGCAGCGGAGAGGTAATTGTCATCATGCGGGATCACTGTCTGGCGTCTCGCCTGCATCGGGTTCGCCTGCGGAGCTTCAGTGTAGGAAACACGCGTCGCATCCAAGGAACAGCCACCACATGTACCAAAAGTCACCAAGCCAAGGTCACGGCATCCTCCACAATGAAGACGTGCCGAAGCTGTTTACGTCTTTCATGTCGGCCCAAACACTTTGATGAATCGAGGGCACGCTGCAAGTCCACTCCCACATGGGCGCTCCACTGTAGCAGTTCCCTTTCTTGCTTCGCCCAGCCGCACCTGAATTGCTTGCATTGGGGGTCCAAGGAGCGACGCGCGACGTCACGAAATAATATACCAAATCATGCAACAGATGGTGAAACACGGTACCATGATGGAAACGACTGCAGGGCAAGGGGGGCGACGCGGCGTCTGGGAGAACAGGCAGCTCCAGCAGTACTGTTACAGTCGCGGTCAGATTCCAACATTCGCATCAATACCATTCAGAAATGGTGCGTGTCGAGAGCGAAACGCTACTAAAAACAAGTGCCTTGATCTTGAACCAGGACTTGGCTTGCGCGACCCCGATTCCTGATGGCTCCTTGGGAAAGCCGTTCCAAACCAGGGCTCGTTCCGAGTCGCGTTCGGAGGGCCCTGGGGCCCCAGAACATGCCCCCAGAGGCCGAAATCCCACCAGCCCTGTGGGCGCAGGTGGCTCAGAGAGCTGTGTCGTCCAACCTCCTTCTTCCAATTTGGGGAATAGGTCATACTTGCTCCTCGAAGATACACATATTTCCCCACTCGACTAGCCGTAAACCAGGAACCATGAGCGCCCTCCCTCCCCCTCCACCATCCCTGGCGACGTAACCATACAAAAACCATAATCAACTACCAAAATCGGCGGGGAACTTTCACCGCATCCTTCAACTTCCACTAGGACCCCTTCCGTGCAAGCACTGATTGGGGAATAAAGAAGACATGGTTCTGTACTACACGAACGAGAATACATACGAAATGCCACAACGTAGAACATACCAAAGACCATACGAGAGATCATACGGGATGATTCGAACATTCATGATATGGATCTTGACATCGATTGTGAGATCGATACTAAGATCGATAGTGGAATCGATAAAGAGAACGATTGTAAGATCGATCGTGACACCAAGAGTGAAATCGATTCAATGAAATCGATTGTGTTTTTTTTTCGCGAGATCGCTCATGCGATCTCTAGTGAGATCGCTTGTGAGATCGATAATGATATCGATTGTGAGATCGAATGTGATATCGATAGAAACTTGGGTAATAAGATCGATGGTGAGACAGATCGATAAGCAAATCGACCAAGAACCTGGGAACCCAAAAACCTCGCCGCCCTCCGAAATCGGCCCGGAACCCGGAACTGGGAACCTGGGAACCCGGAGCCGGGAACCCCGGAACCCAGCCTGCGACCAAAATCCGCGAGAAACTTTCACCAAATCCTTCAGCTTCCGCTAGGACCCCTTCAATGCAAGCGGGGAATAAAGAGGACATGATTCTGTTCTACACGAACGGGAATACATACGAGAAACCACAACGGTACGGGAGACCATACGACAGGCCATACGGAAGACCAGACAACAAGAAACCAGACGCGAAACAAGACGGCAGTCCATACCGGGGACCATGTGATCATCGATAATGAGGCCCGAACGGTCCCTTGCAGGCCCCTTTTACGAACCGTATACAGGACCCTTACACACAATGCGTTTTGTGGAACAATGCAAGACGCATGTACCTGCAAAATCTTGAACGTTACGGGACCATGGCGTGCACGTTGCTTTGATATGTGGTGTTTGGTTTTCGTTTTGAATTAGCAGCGCCAGTCATATCCGCCCTTCCTCCTCCACACCATCCTCCTTCCTCGTGGTCGCGACATCTGCACTGGCATTACCATCATCAACATCATCATTAGCATGACAACACGGGTCGCGCCATCATCATAATCATCAACATCATCATCAACATAATCACCATCATCAACGTCATCATCATCACCCGTGCCATCACTAGCATCATCAGCCTCATTGGCATCATAAAGAGCAGTATCTATCATCAGTGATATGTCGACACGCCCCTCACACGACTCGTGACCTATAGGAAGCTCCACCGAAGGCCACATTGGGAGGGCTCGCGTGGCACAGCGGCACCCATGGCGGCACTACCCACACGTTTCGTGGCTCCAGAGGGAGTCGCCGCCGAGGCCCCCAGTGGGAGGGCTCGCATGGCGCCGTCGCACCCATGCCGGCGCACCCCTCACAAGTTTCGCGGCCCCAGTCCGAAAGGTCAAGTAAGGGAAATCGCATGTCGCCGCCGAAACTCATGGCGGTACACCTCTTGCACACTTCGTGGCCCCAGCCGGAATCGCCACTGAAGGCCCCAGGGTGAAGGTTCGCATGGCGCCGCCGCGCCTATTTCGGCACACGCACACACACACACACCACAAGCTTCGCGGCCCCATAGGAAATCCCACCGAAGGGCGCAATGGGAAGGTCCGCGCGGCGCCGCCGCACCCAGTTCGGCACACCCTTTGCACTTTTCGTGGTGCCCCTCCTTCGTCTCACCTGCCTCGCGATACTTCCAGCTCCACTCGCCAGGATAACGCACCATGGTGGCAGGGGGAAGGAGCATATTTGTCCGCTGTGCGCTGCCCCACCATCCCTGCCAGTGGCCAGTGCAAGCTCGTCGAGGGTGCACACAATGAAACCTGTTCACCACCCCGCCCCCTCGTTGCAGTGCTGTCCGGCATGGGTGGTCGAGGGGGTCGACGCAGAAACCGGCGTGTGCTGCCACGTGCAGTGGCACAGCTGGCGCACCCTGTGCTCGTCACGCTTTGACGAGCAGTGTCGGGCGACAAGCGCTACGGCAAGCGCCCCGAAGAGGCGCCCGACTCAGTCGGGCACCTTGGGGAGCTGCGCGATACGCCGCGCCGCCAGCGCCGCGAATTCGGAAACGCTGCCCCCAGCGCAGCGCACGTCGTGCAGCAAGAGCAGGGCTCGTCACGTACCCTGGCGCACCTGGCGCGGCACGAGCAGGCGGCACACTTGGCGCACCAAGCGCGCCTGGCACGCACAGGCCCCGGAGGCACCTGGCGCACCTGCTGCGGACGGCGCCCCTGGCGCGCGCGGCGCACCTCGTGGGCGTCGCACGCCTGGCGCCAGCATCGGCTCCCGACCAACGTCCATCGGATGGTGTTGCCTGCCCAGGCTGAGCCTCGGGTGCTGCTTCTGTGGTGTGCGAGCGGGCGGGAGTGTGCGAGACAGCTTGTGGCGTGTTCTTTTGAAGCTTGGCCCATCCCCCCACCCCCATCCCTGGATTTGGACGGGGCCGACGCAAGGAGTCAGAGGGCTGCGTTGGCCCAAAATGGTCCTGGTATGGTTCGCGATGGCTCAGGATGATATCTGACATTCCTCCACAAAGCCCGAAGCCCACCATACGACGGCTCCACGTGGCCACGGAGCCACCCAAGGAGAACCCGAAAGGCCAAAAACAGTATGCCAAGCTCATGCGTCTCAATTATTTGTTTCGTCTCGTCTGTTTGCTTCCGACGGGCCTGTGAGGCCTCAAACGGGCACAAAATCGCTCAAGAGAGCCAAAACAGGGGCCCAGAAGAGGCCCAAGATGGTCTCAAGAGCGCCCAAGCGGGCCCCACCCAAGCGGTGATTATTCATGCTCTAACGGGCGAGACAAATCCTGTTGTTTCAAGATGTCACGGGATCTTGCCGACGCCAATCTTGGTCATGCCTTATGCCGACTGCCACCGATTTGCGAGGATGATGCACACATTGACGATGACCGAGATGGGCGATGGCCAAGATCGCCATCGACGTTTCCGCTTTCGTTTTTGGCCAGGAGGCTTTATCTCCATTGTCACCCTTGTGACAGCGGCGATCGTCAGTCGAAGCCTGGGTGCCCGATGATTTGTAGTAAGACTCTGGGGGAGGGGGGAATTCTCCCTGCATGCGCAAAGCGGGCGATTTGGGCCATTGGCTTAGCGTTAGGAGTGTGCGCTGGCATCCAGAAAACTAATGCGTTTGAGCACGCCCACTCGAGTTTTGGGTGGTCGTTTTGGGTATGGACGATCTGGTCATGATCGTTGTGTGATTGTGCCCACACGAACTTTCAACTGGTGGCATTTTTACTAAACTGCACGAGCAAAGTCAAAGCGGAGATGCACATCTCGGCATCGTAGCTGCTGTCGCCGTAGTCGTCGCCGTCGCCGACGCCGACGGCGACGGCGACGCCGTGGCCGTTGCCGTCGCCGTCGCCGTCGTCGTCGTCGTCGTCGTAAGGATCGTCGTCGTCGTGGTGATCGTTATCGTCGTCGTCGTCGATATCCTCCGCCAAGGTCGGCGGCACCAGCCGTGAGGCCTTCCCGGAACAAAACTGACCTGCATATCTCGGCCTCGTAACTGCTGCCCTCGCCCCCCGAGGCGGGGACGCACTGGCCCAGGTCAGTGCAAACCCGGGCCTATCAGGCCTTGCAGTGTCCCGGGATCCTGCGCGCTCGCCCGGGTCAGTGCGTCTCTGATGACGCAGGGTGCTGCAAATCTGCCGTTCTGGGTGACCCCCGTTTCTGGGGAAACCAAACAGATCCGATGCCGCAGCTCCTGGGATCTCCCCCGGGGTGCGTTCTGACCAGGACTGCGGAGCGAATGTAGCGGTGGCGACGAAGGCCCCCCAGGAGGCCCCCAAAGGTGAAAACGAGGGAAGGGTACCAGTATGGGTATTTTTTCCTCCTCTGAATTTGCATCGGCCCCCCGCTTCATGCAGCTCGACCGAGCCTCGATCGATTCCCGCCGGCGGGCGCCGCCAGAGCGCGCGGCTGCTGGGCGCGGCGCACGCGAGCAGGGCGACGCCCGCCACCACGAGGAGCGCGGACCCCTGGCAACTCCCCGCGCCGGGCGCTGCCAGAATGAGTGAGGTTCCTGACAATCGGCGGTGGACAAACCTCCCTTTAGCAAACCTCCCTTTAGTGAAAACTGCCTGGGATCGAAACCTACGGACCTGGACCCGCAAAAATGACGGCTGCGACGCCCTCTCGCGAACCGAAACGGCTATCCAATACCCACCTGTCAATTTCCATCTCTTCCAGACTCTCACATCCAAACTTCTTCCCGTACCTTAATAGAAATCAGCGATTCTGATCGTCTGTGTTAGTCTCCCTTCGGATAGAAGTGTCCCTGGCCAAAGGCGACCCCCATGACTTCCAAGGGACTCCCCACGGCCTCCGGAGGACCTCTCACGACGCCCAGGGGGCCCCAGGAGCTCGAGCACGAACCGAACCAGCGGCGGATTCTCTGGGCCAAGGTCACCAATTTGGCCCCCCCCCCCCCGCTGCCGTGCGGGGTGGGTGTTTCCGCGGCTGCTGCCGCTGCGGCCCATCACCAGACTTTCTGACTACCTACCAGACCACCCCAACCCAACCCGAAGACCCGAATTTGACCCGAATTTCGGGTTGGGGGGGGTACGGATACCATGTGTTTTTTCAACGTTCCCCGACCCCCCCCCACTGGAAATCGAGGATAAATTTGGGCCTTCGGGTTGGGTTGGGGTGGTTTGGTGGGTGGTGACTTTCTGGGGGGCACACATCCTGGAAACCTCGCGCGGCAACTCGAGGCGCATCCGACGTCAGATCCGCGTCGGGCTGCCGCCAAACCCACGTCGGAAAGATCGCCCCGCGAAGGTCGTCCCAAATCTGACGGGGGGCGGACGCGTGGACTGAAAGGATGCAAATACCTCGCGCCGCCCGGACCTTTTGGACGTTTCGCACGGAGGCCTTGGCGTCGCAAAACGATCGAAGAGGTCAGATTGTTGCGTTCTGCCCCCATGGGGGCCTCTGCCAGGCCCTGGGACCATCGGAAAAAAAACGGGGGGGGAAAAACTAAGGGGGGGAACCCACTCTGCTGAACTTGAAGTCGTCATCTCCACTGCTCGCGCAAACATCCAACCCACCAACCCGCAACTTGGTTTGCAAAACCTGTTCAGACCGACTACGACGACACCGACGACAGCGACTAGGACGACACCGACGACGTCTCCGACGACTTCGACGACGCATGCGGGGTGAAAAACTAACCCCGATGAGAGGGGCCCACGGTGCGAAAAGTCACGTCTTCGGGAATCGGGGTTTTGCTCCTGCTGCTGCTGCTGCTGCCGTTGTTGTTTGTTCGATCGTCGGACGGTCGCGCGCTTTGCGCCTCGGTTGCAGGGACCACTCATGCCCATAAATTCGCGGCGGGGATGTATCCATATCCACCGCATGGTGAACGCCGTGAAGCCGCAAGGACGGCGCATATATGGATATATACGTTTGGACCAAAGGGGCCCAGATATACATACCCGCCGCCTAGGGCGCTAATTGCGAGGGTGCGCCGCTGGATCTCCCAAGGAAAGGGAGGGGTGGGACCCCCCCCCGTTTCCTCGATCCGTTGTCGGGACCCCCCCCCCCTTCCCGATCCGTCGTCGGGGATCCCCCCCCCTCCCTTTCCCCATCCGTCGTCGGGAAACCCCCTCCCCCCCTCATCCCCTTTCAACAGGGAGGGGGGTGCGACCCCCCTGCCCGCCTCCCCCCCTTTGGCCGCCAAATTCGACCCCCCCCTTCCCCCCCTTTCGCCACGGCGCCCCCGGGTTCCCGACCCCGACCCCTGCCACCCCTAACGCTAATCCTGACCCTTACCCCGACCCCCAACCCTCACCCCGAACCCGAACCCTAGCCTCAAACAGTACTCACTACTCACTACGCATTACTCACGGCCCACGACTTACGACTCGCTACTCACTACTCACTTCTCACCAATCACTACTCACTATTCACGACCCAATACTCACGACCCACTATTCACTACCCACTACACACTACACACTACTCCCTACGCCCTACTTGCTACCCAATGCTCACTATCCACTACTCAATACGCACTACTTACTACTCACTAAACGCAACTCACTACCCACTACGCACTAATCACATATCACTACACACCTACCCAGTAACCACTATGCAGTAACCACCAGTCACTACTCATACTTCACGATTCACTAATCACTGCCCACAACTCACTACTCACGATCCACTAGTCGCTATTGTCTACTCACTACACAGTACTCAGTACTCAGTACCCACTACTCGCTACTCCCTACACCCACCACGCTACCCAATACGCACCACTCACCACCCACAACTCATTACGCATTACGTTCCCACTGCTCACGGCTCACTACTCACTACTAGCTATTGCCACCTCCTTACCCGCTACCCACTAGTCACTAGTCACGAGTCGCTACGCTACTCACTACTCACTATTCAATATTCACTACTCACTACTCAAGACTCACTACCCACCACGCACGACACACTACTCACGAATCACTACGCAATATTCACTACCCATTACGCACTACTCACTACGCACTACCCACTATTCCCTGCTCCTTACTCCCTACTCACTAGTCGCTAATCACGAGTCGGTACTCAGCACTCACTAGTCAGTAATCACTACTCACAACTTACGACTCACTACTGACTACTCCCTACTCGCTACTTCCTACGCACTACCCACTGTCTCATTTCTCACTACTTATTATTCAATACTCCCTACTCCGTACTCCCTACTCACTACTCGCTACCCCCAACTCGCTAGTCACTACTGACTACTCCCTCCTCACTACGCACTACTTACAGTGCCCTACTCACGACTCACTATTCACCACTCGTTACTCCCTACTCGCTACTCACAATTCACTACCCCCTCCCCACTACCCACTATTCCTCACTCACTATTCACAACTCACTACTCACTGCGCACTACTCACTACTCACTCCTCACTAGTCACTACTCACTATTCACTACTCACTACTCACTATCCCGAGGCCAGACCCCCCCTTTGCGGGAGAGGCCCTCTCCCCGGCCCCCTGTTCGGCGCAAAGAGGGGGAGCGGGGGGGGTTCGAACCCCCCCACCCCCTTTCCAGCGCCAAGGACGGGAGGGGGAGGGGGGGGGGTCCGGACCTCCCCCCCCCCTTCAAGGGGGGTCGAAAATCTCACCCCCCCTGGACAGGGGGGGGGTCCGAACCCCCTTTTCAACTACAGGGTGACCCAGTGGCGCGCTTTCGCTAATTGTGGATAGTTGCGGGTACCACGGCGAACCTTGGCTTCGAATCGGATCCACGACCAAAATTGAAACATCGGCCCAGCAGCCATATCCCCTCCTGCGTCCGCCATGGGACTCCTCTCAACGTTCTGGCTGTACTGAATCCCCTGCTGCCGTCATTACCGCTGCAGCTAAAACGCGGCCGAAATACGGAACTCACGATCTACACATGGAAAATATGGGAACGGCCCAGGCACTCATCACCAGGCCGAGCACCCACGCCGGTGTAGCCGTCGGCGCGCACGCAGGCCAGCACAACGAGTGGATGTGAGCTGCTATTGCTTCTGCTGCTGCTCCTGCGCAGGTCGTCGGAGGGCCACGCGCGCTGCGCCTCGGCAGAGGTGGCCCACCCCGGGAAAACCCCAAAGTCACGACATCAGTACTCCCAAAAACCTCTCACAAATTGCGTTCTGGCCACAACCTCGAAGAGATCCGTACCTGGCGACGGGGGCTCTCCAGGACGAGCAGCGGTATCCGTACCTTCTCCTCCTCTGAGCCCCTGCCTGGAGCACGCGCCTCGGACACCCCGCGCCTCCAAACAGGGCGCCCGCTCGCCCGTGGCGCCCGCCGCCGCCGCGCGGCTGGGCGCGCCGCACAACACTGCCCGTGCCAGCAGCCACGCGGAGAACCCGCGGAGGAGTGCCGCGTGCAGCTGCGCGCGCCACTGACGGACACTCTAGAGCGAGGCCGGGACCAGCACAGAATTGGATCGGAGGCGACGAGGGGGGCGGAAGAGGGGCAGGCATTACACGTATGCGCCAGGGAGCCTCGCCGAAGAATATAGGTGTTCCTCCCCCCTGGGCTGTTCGCCCGCATCGTAGTTTCCGATTGGACCGGGACAGATCGGGAATCTCTGAGACCTAGCGGCTCTGCAGGGTGCATCGGGCACCGCGGCCGTTCCGGAGCGCTCTGGAACGTTCTGAGAACATCGCGGCTCGCTCTGAAGCGATGCGCCCCTCGGGCCGGGCGAAAGAGGGGGATAGCAAAGGGGGGGGTGAGAATCAGCTCATGTTGCTGATTTTCCAGGCGCCTCCTGGCGCCGGAGGCGGCTATGTATTTTGGAATGGGCCTCTCGGTGGGACCGAAACCAGCTGCATGCAGCAAATTTCGTAACCCCCCCCTTCCCCAATCCTCCCCTTTCGTTCGGCCCAAGCCCCCGCTCCGGCCCCGCCCGAAACGACGCGGGCGATGCACTGGCAACCGCCAACCGCAGTGCAGGCCTGCGGAACAACGGCCGCCACGCACTGAGCCAGGAGAGGCCCCGCGCGCTGGCGCCCGGGCCAGGCGCAGCGGCCGCGCACGTAGGAACAAGGAACGGCGACACCAACACCACCAGGGCGAGAAGATGCGAGGAGGCAAGGGGGGTCTTTCTGGTGGTGTGGCCCCCCTCTCGCTCGAGACATCCTCAGCCTCCAGCACGGGGAGTCATCGTGGGCCTCCTCGCTAGAGGTGGGCCCCCTGGTGGTGTTGGTGTCGCTTCTCCTGCCTCCGAGCACGGCAGCGCCTCGGGGTGCTGCTCAGAGCCCAGGCCCGTCTGCAAGCCCTGGCCGCGCGGGGGGTCGGCGGGTGCGGAGAGGAGAGCACCTCCGAGGGGCGGCCGGCTACCGAGCGCGCCCAGCCGTGCGCCCGCCGCTGTCTGTTTCGTTCCAGGATGGCGCAGCGACCTTACTACTTGCAATCGCCGTGCATGTTTCGGTTTTGTGCGTGTTTTTCCTGCTCGATGATCCAGGATGCTCTTCGATGGTCCTCGCCGAGAAAAAATGCACACGTCCGAGCGATGCCAGGACTAGGCGGCTTACGCGGGCCGCCAGCGCGGCACGCTACATTGGAGAACGGGACAATGACGCGCGACCTTACGCGAGCAGCTCAAGAGCCAGTGTCGGCGCGACGACCCCCCTGTTTTTGCGTCGCTCACCCCTAGATTCTGCTCCGTTCCTCCTGGGGCCACCTTGAGGCACTGGCTTGGGTCAGGAGACACATCCTGGGAGGTCTCCGTCAGGACGATTGAGGGCTAGTGGGTTTTAGGCCCGATGACGTGCCCATCCATGACGTTCAGCTGGATGAGGCCCAGCCACAAGCCTCAGTAAGCTGGATCAAGAAGCCAGAAATTGTATTATGCCAGATTAGGCCAGTTCTGACCACGGACATGCTAGCCCCGACGCTGAATCCCACAAGCCCTTTGGGCTAAGGTGCTCTGACGAGTTCTTCCTGTCCTCTTCCAAAAACCATTTTCCCTTCTGGGAGGCGTAACCTCCTCCTTCCCTCCCTAAGGTCTTTTAGGGGAAGTTCGCGAAGTGTCAGGGGGTCCTTGTTCGCCCAATATGGCTCTGAGAGGCCCTCCTATGCTCCAAGATGGCCTGCAAGGCGGCTCAAGATAGCCGAAAATGTTTCAAGACAACTTAAGACACGCCGTCAGGAGGACCGACGAAGGTCTCAAAACGGCTCCGAGAGCTCCCTGAGTCCCCTCAAGAACCCCTCCAGAGGTCGAACACCAAAGGAAAATCAATGATGTCTGCCGTCGCGCCTCTTCGCTTCCGAAGCTCTTTTGAAGCCTGAAGATGGCCCCAAGATGGCCCACGAGAGCTCCAAGATAGACCAAGAGGCCCCCAATGCGGCCCCAAGAGCGCCCAAGATCGCTCCAAGAGCACCCCAAGAGGGCCCCAAGGGGCGATTCCGAGGGCCCCAGAGAGGGGACCAAAGGTTAAGACCCCCTTCTGTTCACCGACGCCGTCCACGATAGCCCCAGGAGGCCCTCCAGGGCTCCCAAGAGGCTCCCGCGAGAACCCCAAGAGAGTCCAAAGAGGGCCCCAAGAGGGCCCGGAGACCCCCCAAAGGAGTTCCAAGAGGACCCTAAGGCCCTTGAAAAAGAGCCCCAAGACGGCTCCAAGAGGCGAATTTGAGGGCTCCGGTCTTGTCCTCGTTATCCTCCTCCTCCTCCTCCTCCTCCTCATCGTCCTCGTCCTTGACCTCGTAGTCGTCCTTTGCCTTTTACACCTCGTCCTCGCCGCCGCGGTCGTCGTCGTCGTCGTCTTGTTACCTCCTCCTCCTCCTCCTCCTCCCCTCGACCCCACGCGGGCCCCAAGGATGACCCGAAGAGGCCCTTTTAAGGCCACCCCTTGCTCCAAAGACGTACCTGTTCCCGTCAGCTCTCGTGGGCAGGGATTCTAAAGGGGCTTTTGGGGATACTTTTTCGTTCGCGAGCGCAAACGAAAGGGCCGCGCGCCGTCCAAAGTTATACCTAACAAGCTGGTGGGGATAGTTGTTGTTCGCAACCGCAGGCGGACAGCCGCGCGCCGTCGTGAAAGCTGGTGGGGACACACCAAGCGTGAAGAATCTAACCTCCCAGGAGTTGCCTCCTGACTTGAGCCTGAACATCAATGTGGGACTCTTCGGAGGCTTGAACATCCCATCAACGATCGTCCCCTGTTCACCCCAACCATTCTATATCCCGCGCCCCGCCGGGTTGCCCGCGACGCCGTACTCGTCCTGCCGTCCGTCCGCGCCCACCCACATCATGAAGTTGCTGGCTGAGACCACGACGAGCCAGCTGGCACGGGCAAAACAAAATGCAACATCTGATGTGTACCACTCCGCAATTGCGGACAAAAGCGAGGGGGCGGGGGCGGAGTGTCTTGCGGGTAGGTGGCGGGCGGGTAACGTGTGGGTCGCGGATGGGGTCACGGGCGGGTTGCGGGTGGGTCGCGGGTAAGTCACGCTTTAATGGCGACTGGGTCGCGCGTGGGTCGCGGGTGGGTGGCGGGTGGGTGGCGGGTGTGTCGCGGGCAAGTCGCGCGGTGTGTCGCGGGTGAGCCGCGGGCGGGTCACGGGTGGGCCGCGGGTTGGGTCGCGGGTGGGTCGCGGGTGGGTCACAGGTGGATCGCGAATAAATTGTGAATTCATCTCGGGCAGGTCGCGGGTGGGTCGCTGGCGGGTCGCGGGCGGGCCGCGGGTTGGGTCGCGGGTGGGTCGCGGGTGGGTCACAGGGGGATCGCCAAGAAATTGTGAATTGATCGCGGTGTGTCGCGGGTGGGTCGCTGGCGGGTCGCGGGTGGGTCGCTGGTTGGCTCTCGGGTGGGTCGCTGTTGGGTCACGGGTGGCTCGCGAAAAATTGAAATATTGATCGCGGCGGGGTCACGGGTGGGTCACGGGTGGGCGGATGTGTCGCGGGTGGGTCGCGTGTGGATCGCGGGGTGGGTCGCGCATGGGTCGCGGGTGATTCGCGGGTGGGTCGCGGGTGGTCGCGGGTGGGTCGCGGGTGAGTCTCGGGCAGGACGACGACAACGGACACCAAACAGCAAATAACAAACAACCACAATAACACAACAAACAATCACAACACCAACAACAACAACAACAACAACAACAACAACAGCAACAGCAACAGCAACAACAACAACAATAATAACAACAACAACGACAACAACAATAACAACGACAACAACAAAAAGGGAACGCCGGCTTTCTGAACCCCTTTCCGATGGGGCGAACTCCCCACAGGAGGTAGGCCGGGTTTCTGACGCCCCCTCGGGGGAAAATGGGCGGAGGGGGGCACCGCATCGCATCGCACTGGCTTCCGGGCTGGCGTCTGATGGGAATGGATTCGACTGCCGAAGCCCATCGACGAGGCTAAAGCGCCTACAAGCGCCGAAAGTTCCAACGCTATGACGCCCCCACGCAAGCTCGGCATCTAGTAGACCCATAATGAGGAATATCTTCTAAAAAAATCGTTGTTCAAAGAACCCGGCAAAGATAATCTGGGTCAGGAGTCCCTTGATATTGATGAGCCTTTTACAACGTAATCTTTACTAGGGGGCCCCTTACACACTCCTCACTAGGAAACCCTGACTAAATAATGCTTGCTCCGAGAAAATGCATAAAGAAACCTTACCGCGGAAATCTTGCTCAACAGCCCTTAATCAGATAATATTAACAATGAACCCTGACGGCGGGAGTCTTACCCAAGACTCTGCACTACAAACGTATTAGCGACGAAGTTTTACCGCGGGGCTCATACTGAACAGCCCTTAGTCAGAGCACCTCAGTAAAGAAGCATCGCTGCGAGAGCATTATTCAAGAGTCCTCACTCAGGGAAACTCGTCAGGGAAGTCCTATCATGGGGATCTAACTCAAGAGCCCCCACTAAGGAAAGTTAGCGGACGAACTCTTACCATGGGCATATTACCCCAGAGCCCGTACTAAAAAGACCTTGGCGAAGAATCTTTACCACGAAACCATTACTCAAAGAGTCTTTACTAACAAGACTTTACCAACGAAGCTTTGCAACGGGACTCGTACTCAAGAGCGCTCACGGAAAGAAGCTTTGGAAAAAAGAGCTGTTTTACGGGAGTATTACTTAAAAATCATTACTCGCAGAACATGAATGAATAATCCCTACGGTGCGAATGTAACTCTATAGGAGAACATTAATGAGGCAACCGCACGATGGTAATACTACTCAAGAGTTCGTACTAAGAAAACCTCAATTGAGAAGTCCCACGATGGCAATAATACGCGAAAGTTCTTACTGCGAGAACCTGATTGAAAAATCCGTACCTTGGTAGTCTTACCCGAAGATCATTACGGAAATAATATTGACAAAAAGACGAAGGCCCGTTCAAACCACAACGGCTGGCCCGTAAACGGGCGATGCTACAGCGCAGTGGCCTGATCAGGCACGCGCGCAACGGAGAGCAAACGTTGCGCCTCCGAAGTGGGGGGGGGGAGGTGGGAAAAGACCGGGGGCGGTCCTCAAGCGTGAGTGGAATACTCGACGAATGCGTCTTCATCACGTTCATGTAGAACTTAATGCCAGCGAGACTCAGTATGCAAACCATCACGCGCAAATCCTTGAAGGCGGTCCTCCCATCTCGTCAGAGGGCGCCCGCGCGCCCTCGTAGCCCCGCGCGTGTGGCGCGAGCTCCACAATATGATTGTCTGGGCCCATTCACTTTCTGATGACCGGCACGCAAATCCAAATTAGCGGCGACATAGTATTTCGCTCCATTTTCAATCGGAAACATGTGCATTGCATGGACAATCCGGTCCCGCAGTTGTCTCATGGTGTCTGGCCAATCCTCGCCCTCCCAACGCCTCCAACCAACGATCAAGCGTAGCATGTTGTTTTGAAGGACGTTCAAAGATTGCATGTGATGATTGGTCAAAACTGCGGCCGATAATCCGAACAATAGTGTCGGTGTAATGACATCTTGCAGCAACGTCACCCGCAATCTTAAAGAAACGCTCTGACCTGTGAGGACATGACGGTGTTTGCGAAACTCGTGCCAAGCTCGTTGGAATCCTCGACGTCGTTGCAATTCCTCGAACGGGTGCACGTTTGCAAAATTGTTGCGAGCATCGTTGCCACCCATGACGTTGAACATGTGCCCGCCCACTTCAATGAACAAATTTTCCATCCCTTCATCTGCGGCGCGAATCCCACCAGCCCTCTGGGCGTCGGTGGTTTAGAAAATTGTCTTTTCCACCCCTCCTTCTTCCCCTTCGGAGATGGGTTTACCCCTCCACCCCCCCTCCCCGTGCACCTGGACGGGGGGGGGGCCGCGAGCGGTCAGAGCGTCCCGAACGGCCTCGGCGAAGAAACCCAAATCTCTGATGTTACTAAGGTTTTGGCCCCAGTTTGGCCTCTTGGGGGGGCGACGCTAATTGAAGTTCCACTTTTCTTTGACAGATCTCCTCCAAAATGGCCCCAAAAAGTGCCCAGGAGGCCCCAAGAGGTCTCAAGATGGCCCCAGAATGGCCCCAAGTGGCCCCCAAGAGGCCCCCAAGAGGCCCCCAGGAGGTTCCCAAAAAGACCCTCAGCGGCCCCAAAGAGGCCCCCCCCCCGAGGCACCCAAGACCCCGAAGAGCCCCCCAGAATCGCCAAGAGACCCCCAAAACGTCCAAAGAGGCCACCAATAATCGCCCAAGAGATACCCCAAGAGGCTCCGAGAGGCATCCAAGAGACCTTTGGCCCTTGTGCTTGCCCTCCTCCTGGTCCTGTTCCCCATTCCTGCTCCTACTCTTTTTCCTCCTCCTCCTCCTCCTCCTCCTCGTCCGCCTTCCCCTCGTACTATTCCTCCTCCTTCTTCCCACTTCCTCATCCACCCATCCATCCACATCCTCCTCCTCCTCACTCCTTTGCACGGTTCGGCCGTCCTCCTCTTTGATGCCGCACTTCCCGGATCACCTCAGCTCGCCTGGACATCGTTTCTGGATGGGCTGGTGGATTATTGTTTTCGGCATCGGCCGCGGGCGAGCGCGCCGGCGGCGAGTCCAGTTAAAGCGGGGCAAGCAACGACAAATTCACCTAAAGCAACGGAAGGCGGCCTCACCCAAAGCGGCAAAGAGGGGCAGGCTGATGGGGATTTGTTTTCGACGGCCGCGGGCGGAAGCGCCGGCGGCGTGTCAAGTCGAAGCGGGTACGCGCCACAGACCAGACTAATTAACAGCAGAAAACTGGGGCACAGTACTGCCAGGGCGCGCACGCAAGAGGCCTAGGCGGAAACGGCAAGAGACGTGGGAAAACCAACAGAGCGACGGGCGAGGCGACAACTAAACGCGGCCGAGGCCTCAGGGGGAGCTGCCGGGGCTGAGCTGACGGGAGCTGCCGCGGGCACAGCAGCAAGTCAGTCGGGCGTCATGCGTCGGAGAGTCAACGACGGCCAGGGACAACACCGAGAAAGAAAAAGTGGCACCGAACCTCAGACGACGGCGCGGGCACCAGGGTGGTCAAGGCCAACGAGTCGTCGGTCGAAATCGCGAAGAAAAATACAAAGGCGAGGCCCAAGACGGCGCGAAGCGCGAATGCCAGGGTGGTCAAAAGGACCGTCAACCTCCGAAACTGGTGGGGATACGCGAAGCGTCTAGAATATTTGTCTTCTCTGGGTTAATATGAAAACCGACTGCGTCAAACTCCTCAGTCAGCAAGTCCATCATGGCGGCTAGCTCGTCGGCAGAACTCGCGCAAAACATGATTTCATCGGCAGGCTGTATGTTCGTGAGTTCGTCGCCCGCTCCAATGAATAACCTGGGGGCATACCCGAACGGGCGGGTCGGGCAGGCGGGCCCAGGCGGCCAGGTTGAGCAGGTGGGTTGCTGAAGAACGCGTCCTGCATGAACCGCGAGGAAGTCTCGAGCGACAGCGCGATTCCGGCTCCACTGCAAGAAGATGCTCAGGGAAAGCGTGATTCCGGAGTGTCGAGGGCGCGGCGCCTGAATAAATGGAGACAGAGCGCAGTAGATGCATAGAGGATGAGGACGCTCCGCACGAGAGCGCGATGTGGGAAACACATGTGAAGAACTATTAAGCGGGAGCCAATGTTGTAGCACTACGGGACCCGACATCCAAATTTGCTGACACCTCGCTTCCCCCCTGAAAAAATGAAACAGAACAAACAAACAAGAAACACAAATGACAAACCTGGGAGAAACACGTCAATTGAAAAATTGCTCCCGGTCAGGAGAGTCTACAATAATTACTCGTAGATAATACAAATTCAATGACACAAGCAACAACACCAGCAACAACACCAGCACCAACAACAACACAACATTCCAGAACTGTTGGATATTACCAACTCGCGTGCAACTTAGCAAGACTATCCCCAACCCACGGTGCCCGCCATCTTCGTCATCGATCGTACTCCCTTGGGGTTATCTTTCTGACCTGCAGCGTGTCGCGCATTACCGAAGGCAGGGGAAGAGAGGACAGATGGGGGGAAAGGACAATGGTTATGTTGCTCCCATCGTACTTAAAGACCACATCCCAGAAATGATTTCGAGCACCCTGAAAAGTGTCGAAAGAGTGTCAAAACAGTGTCGGACGAGTGTCTCCCAGGGCCCGACACGCGAATACCCTAGAGTTTCGGTATTTTTTCCTGGTGCTCGAAATTCTTTCGGGTGGTCAGGGCTACAGTAGGTTGGGACATCATAAGACAAGTGGGGAGCGAGGAGGATGGAGCTCGAGAGAGAATGGCAGGATAAGGGGGTTCGGAGCACAAAGCACGCGGCAGAACCAGACGGGCAGGTCGGGCGGGCAGACCTTCACAGGCGGGCCCGGGCGGCCAGGTCGAGCCGGCGGGCTGCTGAAGTGTGCGTGCTGCCTGGATCGCGAGGGAGCCCTGAGCGACAGCGCGATTTCGAAATCAATCTCGTGAGGAAACCCAGAGCGAGAGCGTGATTTCTGAGTGTCGAGGCCGCGGCGCCTGAATCAATTGCGAAGGAGTCCCACGCGACCCGCAATAGTCCTGACTGTCGAAAGCGCGACACCTGAATACGTTGCGAGGAAGGAGTATCAGGCGAGAGCGCAACTCTTCGATAAATTGCAAAGAAACCCATATCGAGAGCACGATTCAAGACATTGTAACACATATCGGGCGGAAGCCGTTGTTGTTGTAGTAGACTGGGAGCCAGGGGCATAGCGAGCCCCTGGAAGGGCAATTCAATTGGGAAAAGCGTATGTTACGCGAATGCGTGAGTCCCGAAAATTTGCCAGGACGTCTCGGGCGAGAGCGCGATTCCTAAGACAATTGAAAAAAGGCCCGCGCGAAAACGCGATTCCTGAATGGCGAGGGCGTGGCGCCTGACGAAATTGGGAGGAAGTCGCAGGCGACAGCGCGATTCTTATATACATTGCAAGGAAGACCATAGCGAGAGCGCGATTCTTCAATACAATGCGAGGAAATATCAGGCGGGATCCGTTGTTGTAAACCGGGGACCCAGGGCACAGCTTGATCAGGACAAAAATGTTGTATAGAAAACAAGGTGCGAGGCCCGACAAGAGCACTTCAACTTAAAACAATGATGTTACCGGAGGGGGGGACATCAACACCAATTATTATTCAATTGTGGGAGATCAACACCAGCAGCAATAACAAGAACAATGACTCACTGCGTGGAGCTCCCCATATGCGTATATATTAGCACGGACCTGTCCTCCGTGAGCGTCTAGGAGCAAAAGTGTTCGAAAATAAGCGGGTTTGAAAATTGACGGTCTAGGAGCGAAACTAACTGTGAATGAGTCTCAGTAGTACGAGTGCGTCTGCGCATGAGCTTTGGGGGCCTCTTGAAACCTCATGGGGATTCCTGGGGCCTCCTGGAGCATCTTGGGGTCTGCTGGGGCCTCTTGGGGGTTCATGTGACCTCCTGAGGCCTCGTATGGCCTCCTGGGGCATCCTGCAGCCTCTGGAGCCTTCTGGGGCCTCCTGGGGAGGATTCGTGTGCCAAGAGAAGCCCAATCTGCAGGAACACCTGTAAAACATCAAATATTGGAGCCACAGGAGCAGGGCAATCTCTGAGAACATACGCAAAACACTCCAAGACCCATTGGCTCCATGGCGAGTCCCAAGCCCTCCTGACTCGGGTGTTGTCAAAGTTTCCTTCGCCGAATGTGCCCTTTTTCTTTGCGCACCTTTTTCGGGGGCCGTAGGGACCTGAGGAAAAGCTGGAGCCTGGGTCAGGGCCACATTTGGCAGCCCCGCCCGCCCTGACCCGTCCTCCGAATCATCTTTCGACGGCCCAAGGTCCCTTGGAAGCACCCCAGGGGGACCGAAAACAAGGAAAGAAATTCCAAGACCCGTCTCCCTCAAGACCTGTTTGCTCTATGGCTAATCCGGGCCATCCTTCCCATCCCGCCTGCCGCCTCCCGGAGAAAACGCCCTCCTGACGTTCGCGGCCACCGGGGCCACGTACACCTCGCGAGGAAGGGGCGGCGGGCGCAAGGACGCCTGGGGCGTGACCAGGGTCGGCAGCACAGCGCTTCCCTGCCCCCGGCGGACAGAAGGGGGGGGAGCAAGAGAGGCAGAGGAGAGGCGGAGGGGAGGAGGGAGCCTCGTCCCTGGCCCCTGCCCCATCATCCCCGTCGGTGTGGGGATGGAAAACATGCCAAGGCTTCCTCTCACTCGGCCTCTCCTGCGGTGCGGTCTGACCAAGAGCTCCAAAGCGGACCCGGCAGTGGCGACGAGGGAAGGGTAGCGGTATTGGTGCCCTTTCCTCCCGCGGAACTACTGACCTGGGTCAGCGCGAACTCGGGTCAGTCGGGCTTTGCAGGATCCTGAAGGATCCTGCAGGGCCAGTGCAACACTGACTTGGCAGGACCCTGCAAGATCCGGCGACCTGGCTGACCCCCGTCCGTATTGACCCCCGTCCCACGGCCTCCGATTTCCCCCTGAGTCGGGGGACCTGGTGCCCGTGCCCAAAGCCCTGAGAGCTCACGCCCGCCCTGGGGGGACCTCGGCCAGCCTGGCCCGGCTGAGGAAAGACGGGCCCTCTCTGCCGCAGACAACGAACATCGAAGATGATCTTCTGGATCAAGGGTCTACCCATTCGAAAGTGTGTTTCAAAGTGACGCCGATCGCAATCGCAGGGTAATCATCTGATGTTAGGAACTGCGTCATTATAACAAATATTAAACTAACATCTAAGTGTGATTCGAATGAATTCTGGGCGGAGGGGCGCCCGGGCAGTTCGGAAGGCCCAGAGCCTTCGAAGGCGGGAGGAAGAAGATAGGAAAAGCAAGAAACACAATGAAACGCACGTGTTTCCACAGGGTGAACGAATACCTTTCACGGTGGCTCTGTTTCAATGTTTCCCTTTTCTTCGATGTGCAAACATACGTGTTCCTAATTGTTCATGTGCTTCCTGATGTCCTCCGTTTTCCGTCCTGCTGCGCGGAAGGGGCCATGGGCCGCCTGCAAGGCCCCAGTCCCCGAAGGAGGGAGAGGAAGACAAGAAAGGCACAAGACAATAATGATTTATCAGAAAGAAAAAACTGCGATGGGCGGCCATTTCACGATTGTAAACCATTTCCCATGTGAACACGAGTGATCCTTGTGCGTCTTCCTCCTCCCCCGTTCTGCGGCGCGGGGGTGCCCCGGGCCGCTCGACGGGCCCTGGGCCTCGAAGGGAACAAGAGGAACACAAGCAGAACAAGGGCAACGATACAGGACATATGGAATGGAGGTTTACAGCAGGAGAAGGCTCCAAAATTGTCAAACGTCGCCGCTTCTCCTGCGAACGCAACGTGTGTTCGTTGTTTCTCCTGGCAAGTGCCTGTGTCCTCATCCTGCCCGCTGCGGGGAGGCGCCCTAGGCCGCTCGGGGGACCTGGGCCCTCGAACGGGGGAGCAGGGAAACAGAGAAAAACGATGCGGCTTTAACATGCTGTCGCGTGGAAGGACTCTGAATAGCAGCGAAACTGCTTGCAAATCTCGAAATTCAAATATTCTTATTGAATCGCTTCACTCATTCTGCCGGCCCATACAGTCTCATGTCTGCCGTTTGCCCGAGGGCCTGGTGTCAATGCGGCGCTTTGGGGGTTCCTGGGGCCGCTTGGGGGACTCCTGGGGCGCTCGGGGGGGCATTTGGGGGGCCTCCTGGGGCCGCTTGGGGGACTCTTGGGGGCCTCCTGAGGGCCTCGTGGGGGCCTCTTGGGGCCTCTTAGGGGCCTCTTGGGGCCTCGTAGGGGCTTCTTAGGGCCGAGGGCTCGAAATGTTGTTTCGTGTTCCCTCTCTGGGGCCCCTTTGGGGGCGTTCTTGGGGCCCTCTTGGACCGTCTTGGAGGCTTCTTGGGCCATCTTCGAGCCCTCTTGGGCCATCTTGGGGCCCTCTTGGGGGCCTCTTGGGCCCTCTGGGGGCGATCTTGGGGGCCTCTTGGGCCGTTTTGGGGCGTCGGGAAGCCGAAAAGGTGGAAGCTCCAAAATCTCTCAAAAACCTAAGGAAAAACAATGAATTGTGCCTCTGGGGGCCCTTTTGGGAGTGCTCTTGGAGGCCTCTTGGGGCGTCTGGGGGCCATCTTGGGCGCCTTGGAGCGATCATGGGGCATCTCGGAACCCTTGTGTACCATCTTGGGAACCTCTTGGGGGCATCTGGACCCGTCTTGAGGGTTTCGGGGACGTCTCGGAACCCTGTTGGTGCGCTCCTGGAGCGCTCTGGGGGAGTCTCTCGGGGGTCGGTCGGGGATCGCCCGGGGATCGCCCGCGCGCGCGAACTAGCGATACTGTTAACCAGTTACCGGAGACCTTAGCACGCCTCTGGCCCGTTGGGCCGGCGAACTTTTTGGGTGCGAGCGTAAAGGGTGTGTATTGTTTTCTTAGTTTCTTCGTCATCCCTGTCTCCTCGTGTTCCTCCTTTTCCTCCTCCTCCTCCTTCCCCTCCTCCTCCTCCTCCCCCACCGCCACCTCTTCCTCGTCATCGTCCTTTTCCTTTTCCTCCTCCCCCATCCACCTCCGTTCTTTCTCCCTGTGAAAAGCTGTTCCCAGTCGCACCGCGAAGCCCGTCGGTAAGGGCGGGCGGGGCGTTTCGCCTGAACCCTCCTTGCCAATGATGAGCCCCGGACTGAACAACGGGCATCAATTTCACCATAAACGGGCGGGTCGCTTCCAAAAACGGCTATCACGCGAGCGCCGCGCGGGTTGAGGACAGGTAGTTTCCAAATGTTGTTTTCGCCTGAGCGTTGCGGGCATCCGTTCCGAAATTAAAATGGCGCATGCACTTCGCGGATTGAAGGCGGGCCTTTTGCAACGAGTCACTCTCGCATGCTGCGACACGCGCATCCTTTTTAACAAATGCAGGAACTCCACGGATCGAGGGCGGTGCGTTTTGAAAATGTGGTGCCGAATGAAAGCGAGGATGCACCGAATATTTCCGATGTTGTCCAAACGAGTGAAATCAACTCCTTTGGTGTTCGCCGTGCCCGCCAAAAAAGGCATACCTGCTTTGAGGATTCGCTGATGGGATGGTCTGTACAAGTGTCGAAGGCGCGCCCGGTTCCGACCGTGCGCGGCAGTAGCAGTAGTGAAACATGACGAGCTCCTGGCCGTCCAGGACGACGGAGCAACTGCAGGTATGAATTATCTCGTGCTGCCGGACTCGGCCCACCTGCGAGAGGCTAGTCTTAGGCGTAATGGTTTGCACGTGGATTGATGCATCAGTTTGTCGTTCATTCTTTCGGCTGCCGACAGAGAAGCCAGGAACCTCGCGACGAGCAAGGCGCCCAGCAGGAAGTACGAGGTGAAATCTCAGAACATAAGCCCCTCCGTAGAAGGGGGGAGCCTGCCCTAGGCCCCAAGATATGATAACCACCATTGCGTTCTGAACCCCTTCGAACTGCACCCCGAACGCCACCATTGCGCCCCGGATCATTTCGAACTGCACCCCGATAAACCCCTGGATCTCCATCCCCAGCTCGGCCCGGAAGAAGACGAAGATGATGATGATGTATTTTGTCATCCGCCTTTTCTCCCTCTGGCCCACCTGGTCGGTGAACGAGTCTCCCTGAACCTGGTAGAGGTTGATGCTTTCCCCCCCCCCCCCTGGCTGGCCCCCCCCCGCTCGGCCGCCGTGACGCTGATGGCGTAGCTCATCGGCACACTGCTCGCAGCTTGTGTTCGCCACCCTCGCGCCGCGTAGCAATTACTGCCACTTTTCGCGCAGGGCGCTCGCTCGCGCCAGCGCGACTCAATTATGCCTGCGCCCGCTGGACTTTGCAATGGAACGAACAATTCGATACGAAGACGGGTCCTTCTTCGTTGAGCTCGACATCTCGCAAAACTCGATAACCCGGAAGCGATGACGTGCGGACCGCCGAGAAAATTAGCGGAGCGAATCCAGCTGCTAAAATCGGAGGGAACTCCGCACCTGGTGCACGCGTGCCTCGACAGGTGCAACTTACTAATCGGAAAGGGCGCCACACCGCGGATAAAAAGTAGCGTGTTTATTTTGCACATGCTGTTCGATATCGCGCGCGCCATCGTGGAACAAAGTCAGGCTTACGGTCGGCAGCCTTATGACTGCCTTGACGACGCGCAGCTTGCCCGCTCAATGGTTCCCAGCAGTAGCTTGGCTTCCGGATTACAGCAAATTGCCATCCAGCAGTGTGCCCGCGAATCGCTGAGCGAGCCTTGTCCTCGTCGGCACACGAGAAAATCCTCTTGTCCTCCCTGTATGTCAAAATCCTCTCACGCCCGCGCGCTGCGGGTGGCTCTGGGGCGTTCACGCCGTCTTGCAGAGCACGGTGGGCGCCGTCGCCTTTGCACACCAGGAAGGAGGCCCTTGGGCATGAAACGTGATCCGCGGCAGCAAAGCGGCGGCGGCACAGCGGCTCAAGGCGGAGATGCCGCAAGCCTGCAACTGCAGGGAAAAGAAAAACAATTGGAGCAAGCGGCGAAGGTCCAGGAGCCCGCTCAACGCGAGTCAACTACTCCAGAAACCGCAGATGTAGAAGGACAGCCCCGCCTCGCACACCAAATAAGCGCAACGCAATAGCATGAGTCCCTCTGTCGACTGGCCAAGACGTGCTGGACCTACCCCAACACGAAATTAATGCCGACACAGAAAAGGCAGATGATGATGATGATGATGATGATGATGATGATGATGATGATGATGACGATGACGAGGATTTTGTTGCTGATGATGATGACGATGCCGATGGTGGTGTTGGTGGTGGTAGTATTGATGACAATGCTGTGGCGAATCATCATATGAAACAGTAATGATGAGGCGGATGCGCAAATTAATAAGAGGGGCCCACGGCGTTCCTCTCTCGGCCCCGCTCCCCTGCCCGGAACGCCCGCCCCCGGAGGAGCGCACGGGTCGAACCCAGGCCACCAGGAATGGGTCGAGGGTAGCAGCCCATTCGCCGAGGGCCCAGCGCGCCTTGGTGATACAGGCAGCCCTTTCAAGAGGACGCACGAT